TGTATGGCCAAATTTATTACGTGCATGTTCGTGGTCTTCAATGTAAGCAAAATAGGGCCCCATCAGATTGATGGCTGCCTGCACTAGGCAGCGAAGTGCTGAAAGCCCCTGCGTGTGATTGGCCTGGTCGGACTTCATCAGCCTCTGTCCAATTTCATGTCATCTTCTTTCTTTCTTTCAGGAAATCGGCCATCTTCGATGTTTTCTCTCTTCATTCCAATGACCTGCTTAAACAAACCTAGTCCACCGGGCACGTAGCCTTTGAAGATGGAACATCTTCCTCTGCCACGCGACCCTATCAATGAGCATCCGGTCATTAAGCTCGCGACGGCTCAATTTCACAACCCCGGGCCATTCCTCGACTACCCAGACCGGCATGGCGCTCTTCTCAGCGGTCAATGTCCATACGTACCCAGTCAAGCCGATGCGTTCCAGGGCCGTTTCTCAGCCGGAGTCTCAAGCTACAACGTCCTCGATTACTACCAAGGATGGCTGTTCTTTGCGCTCATCAAGGAATTCGTCGAGGGTGAAGGCGAATATGATGCGCGAAAGAAAAGCATGTCTTTCACCTTCGACGACGACGGACAGTTGAGCAGTGCTGCGCTTTCGACCAAGTCGTTGCACGAGGACCTGACGGCATGGAGGGAAACCGGACGTCTATCGAGGATTCAGCGTGGCGACGAATATCACAAACATCTCGACGAATGCCTCGAGACGGCGTTCGAGGCCCTCGACAGCATTAATTCCAGATTCCCCGGCTTTCTTCGGGTCTTCAGAGATGAAATGATCTGTCTCGCGAGCGTGGCTGAGACACTGGACGTGGCGGTCCAGACGGCTCTGGAGCATGGGCCAGTGGCGGGTAAGACTCCGGTGACAATGTGCCCTGCTCTGACAGGATGGCTGGGCTCCGTCTCATTCCAGATGAACAATAAGCTAATGAGACTGCCGCTTAGAGATGAATCATGACGAACAGTACTTCCCAGCCGGACCCAAATATGGGTGGTTCTCAACGATTGCACCCCTCCTGGATCCGCTGAGCCCCGAGACTAAGAGGGCCATGGTCAACGCGGGATGGTGTCCCGGCGACATTGGCAAGATTAGGGACACCTTCACGAGCATTGAGGCGTTCTACTACCTGCAAAACTTCAAGGCCGACTCCACGGTGGCTGATCTACACAAGGACTGCCGAGAGTATGGGTGCAATGTTAGAATCCCCGCGGTGCCCAAACACGAGAGTCCTGGGTGCGAATGCCCAGGCATGATGACATTTGACGAGGAGCACCTCATCGAGATCTATCAAAAAGGGGACATTCCCTGCTTCGCCATCGGCAGGCTCGAGGACGGCGGTCTCGGGGTAGCATTAACCTCAATCAGCATCGACGAAGAGTCTCAGAAGGACCCCGAAAACCACTATGTCGCACTCTCACACGTGTGGTCTGAGGGGTTGGGAAATGTGCAAGCGAATGCACTGCCGTTCTGTCAACTCGCATATGTGATGCACTGGTCGATGATGGCCTATCAGGTGGTCGAAGATAAGCTACGGGAGGAGGACACGACGGGAACGGGAATCAACGTGCAGACGAAACCGAAAGTCCGGCAGATCAACCTGTGGATCGACACAATGTGCTGCCCCGCGACTCCGGGGTACGGTAAGAATTTGTGCTTGTCGAGGATGCGGGAGATTTATGCAAACGCTTATGCCGTCCTCGTCAAGAGCGCGGTCCTTCAGGCAACGAGTGTAAGGGACATCTTCGAAGACACCTCCAGGGGTCTCATCGATGTTGCCACGCACATTTATACGTCGCCGTGGATGCGTCGCATGTGGACGCTTCAGGAAGGCGTTCTCGCCGGCGCGTCACGAGCCCGAGGCTCTGGCGACCGGCTCTGCTTCGCGTTCCGCGACGGCCTCCTCTCCCTTGAATCAGTCGTCAACCTGCTGAAGCAGGCCCCAAAGCACGAAGCGTCCCTGGCCTTCCGCTTCATCGCAGAGTTCCGCGACCTCAGCGTCAGCATGTGGCAACTCCCCGACGAGACCAACACCCCCGGGCGCAAGGTGCACCCGTTGAACTTCTTCCTGCAAATGCTGGTCAACGCGCTCAAGCACCGCAGCTTGACGGTTGCGTCCGATGAGGTGATATGCCTGGCTACGCTGCTGGATCTGCGCATCAAGACGGCGCGCGGGGAGGCTGAGCTTCTTATCGGCGACGGGGAGACGCCCGAGGACGGGATGTGTCAATTGTGGCACAGGGTCGAGGCGCTGCAGGGCGCCGCTGGGCTGCCGGGTGACATCATCTTCTCGTGCGTCCCGCGTGTTCAGGTGCCCGGTTTCCGCTGGGCGCCCCGGACGTTGGCGCAGTATGCCAAATACGGGAACATGTTTGTCTTGCCTTCGAGCCCCTACCCGGCGAGGATCGAAGATGAGGGCCTGAGAGTGAGGTTTCCCGGCGCGAAGCTCAACTGCTTCGTTGGCCTGGATATGGTGGGAAGGCTGCTCCCCACGGAACCGGGATCGACTGATGAGAACGGTGATGGGCATGGTAGAGATGCAGAAGCAGGAGGCGAAACGGTCGTCCCACGCGCCCTGATGATCAAGGTCCCGACGGACGGTGATCAGTGGTATGCAGTTCACGTCTACGAGGAACCAAAAGACGGAAAAGAGGATGGGAGTTATCCACGATCATCGGGGGAAGATGAGGAATCAAGGCCAAAAGCAATCGCAGATCGGCACGATGATCTGGTGCAGCTCATCAGGAACAGCTCTGTCGCCCTGGTTTTCCGGCCCGGTGAGGTGATCACTGGACCCGGTCTACTGGTGTCCATGCCGAAATCGCCGTCTTCGGAAGAGCTAGGGGCCGGGTTAGCGATGCTAAGTCTGAACCCAGAGCCGCTTCGGGTGCACGGCGAGTTTCCCGTGCAGATCAGACCCCTTGTCGGACGGTCCTGCGTCGTTGCCGACGCGACGGTACGGTGCGTCGAGGGGCTGCAGGAAGCAGTTGTGGCTGAGGCGAGACAGCGCGGGGAGGATGTTGCCGTTAGCGATGTTTGGGATGATCAGGAGATTGTAGCCCGGCTGCTTCGCGGAACGGCCGAAGGCTTGATGGGATCGTCAGAGGATTTAAAGAAGGCGCTCTATTTTGAGGTGCTGAATAGGAGAGCTTCTTCGACAGACGAGGCGGCGCTTAAAATCTTCTTCAAATATGTCCGTCATATGGCATATTTTGGTGGAGGCATGAAGGGAGAGGCATATTTTGAGGATCAAGAATGGTGGGTGGACTGAGCTTGGAGGTGACACAAGTAGCTTGAAGACAAGAGCGCCCGCTCACACGTTTAAGACTAGCTCAGTGTCCAAATCAAGAGAGGGTAAATTAGCAGTAAAACACTGTAAGACCATGTCATGCTGCAATTGGAAGGTGCGAGGCCGCAAAATTGCGCAAATAACACGGTTGATAGAGTGACTGGAAATGGCAATCTGATAACTACGTAGCAATCTCTAGCAGATAACATCAATGAGCTTTCAAAAAGGGTGATGCTACAGTAACGGGGCCGGGCTGACATCGATGATGAGAGTTGAGGACCGAGGTCAACATCGTAGGGATGACAAAGCGTGGAGGGCGCCATACTAGAAAACCAAGTACCGCCAATTCTACATAACGCACGCCATATCAAACGTCTTTTGGGTTGATGTTCGTGGCGTTGGAGAGGCTGAAGCTATCGTGAAATCGGCGGTAGGTACCTCGTTTGAGGGGCGACGATGTTCAAGATGTGGCGATCAAGCAGACACGTTCGCTCGAAATCGATGACTGGAAAGGCTTGAAATGGCTGTGAGACATTCGATAGCCGAGAACAGAGGCGTCAAAACTCCACCAAACAAATGACGTTTATTTCATGAAAGCAGATCCAACCATGTAAGACATCAGACTAGGCCAGATGGCTTGGCGGCCCGGTGAGATTGGATCGCATACCACTTACTGAATGCGTGACACCCCCAAGCTCAAGAGTGCTGCCATCAACATGAGTTTCCATCGCCGAGCCTTACGAATCCGGCCTCGAGGGGGGGATTCTGTGCGGTTTTGTTCGGCCCGAGGCCACCTGCGAGCCGAGTTCGTGAATTCAACCGTCAAATGCATCATTGAACTCGGGAGCCAACCTAATCTGACAGGCCCACAACCACCCGACGGGTTCATCCGAGAGAGCCCGATCCATCGATGCTCCTGCCGACGGGATGTGACGTTGGACATCGGGTATCTTGGCATCCCAGACTGGCCACATGCTCGACGGGAGGGCTTGCAACCCCAGGATTGAGTCGGATTCTTGCCCCATTGTCGCATCCGGTACATTGCTTACTGACCTAATCCGACCATTTCATAGTCTATTCTGCGCGCCGGCCCCATTACCGACGACGTTGGAATCTGATCTGCAGTCTTTATGTCTATTCCGAGGAGCCCTATCACAATAAGAAAACTACTGGATGTATCCATTGCTAGCGGTCGTACATAAGTGGTACATCCCCCACGAATCTAGTTATCAAGTGGATAGCAAACGGTAAGAAGGTGCTCTCCATCCCATCCTCTTTCGGCCACCGTCTACACGCTTATTCAAGCACACACCACCAACATTTCGCAACACCCTCTATAGAAAGCGGACAAACGACTCCAACGAAGATGTCTGCAATCGGAAGTGCTCGATAATAGAAACACTTGGCAATAATGTGACAAATGGATGTCGATGCTGTCACAGAGAGGTCATGGGCCATGGGTCGGTCTAGACTACCTCAAGAGCCGCTGGTCCCTCGACCTCGAAACATACGAAAAGCGCGAATGTCACCTTCAAACTCCTCTTGTTCTAGCAAAATACCGTGAACTTTCTTTCACTCTTCAACAAGGTCTTACCGAAGACTTTTTCAAGTAAAAGAATTCAGAAATCTTTGCATGTTTCTTCCGTAATCTTTGTTTTCCATGTTACGAATCTAGCGAATTCGGCTCTCACTTTTTTGAGCAACAATGGCGAGACTCACGGGGTCGTGGAAGGCCCTATTGCCCCTTGCGCTTCTGGGAGGACAGAGTTTTGCGCAATCATGTCTTGATGCCATCAACGACGGCCAGGTCGACGCATGTGTCTGTAACGAGCTCGAATACGTCGTCAGCTACGTCGCTTACGTCGCGCTCTCAACATCGCTTACATCCAACTGCGAAGCGCTACCGACTTCGACACTGAAGATTTCGTCATCTTCATCTACCTCACTATCAGATCCTTCAGGGAACTCATCGTCGGACGCGTATGGAAATGGAGGAACTTTCACAGACAGGGGCAGTTTTGCTCAGGCGACTGCTGGGGGCAACTTCCTGCCCAGGAGACAACTTCCGTCTGGCGCGTCGTCTTTCGATTTCCGACTACCGTACTACACGATAACGAGGTCCGGAACAGCTTCGGCAACCCCGATTACGGTGTCGAGCTTCAACAACTACACGAGCCTTTTTACATCGAACCCCATCTCGACGGCCCAGACTCTGGTAGTATCGACGCCAACCGCAGCCGCCTCCGACGACCGATCACTCGCCCGCGGCACAATCTGGGTTGCCATTCCGGATGGCAGGATTGATTATCCACCTCCTGTAACATCGACGGTGTATTGGAGTGGGAATGGCTCGCTTTCTGCTCCATCTACGATATCGACCATCCCGCCAAAGGCTGAGACTTATATCGTTGCCATCAACAGACCGGCCGACGCCTCTGCACAAAGCGACTTCCCTGCACAGAGTGACATTCCGTCGCAGAGTGATCCTCTCCCGCAAAGCAATGTTCCGCAAAGCGATGTTCCGCAGAGCAATGTTCCACAGAGCAATGTCCCGCAGACTGATGCTCCCGCGCAGAGCAATGCTCCCACGCCTAGCGACGTTACCTTCCCGCAGAGCTACGATCCTGCGCAGAGCGACAGCCCCTTACCGCAGAGCAATGCGCCCGCGCCGAACGACCCCAGACCTTTCGTCACATCGGTTGTTCAATACTCCGGCTCTGCCTCAGTCAACGGCCCGACGACAGTTAGCATCATTTCTCCGGATGGTGATCAGGCTGGAACAGTTGTGGTGGCAGTGCCCCCGATTGCTTCTGCCGGAGGAGGCTCACCTCCTTCATTCATCACGTCCGTGGTGCCGAATCAGTCGCCGTCTGAACCTGGCCCGGGAGGAGATGGCGTCAGTCAGCCCCTTTTCAACATTGGGACCGAGGGTTTGGTGGCTTCTCAGGTCACAACTGAGATTGAGTACACGAACTCTTTGGCTGCGACCGTGACTGTGACTAGGACTCTTGACGCGTTTGTTGCGACTCCCAGCGGAACCCAGCCTGGTACAGTCTTCGTCATTCAAGCGCCCTCAAACGCTGCCAACCCAGGTGCGGGAAGCACACCAGGCACGGGTCCTGATGGTCAGCCCCTTGAAGCCTCTTTTGCACCTGGCTCAGGAGCAACGGCAAACCCGAACCCAGGAAGCCCTGCTGCTAGCAACGATCCTGTACGCGGGCCTGCTGGAACCGGTGCGCCGAGTCCGAACGCGACCGGAGGCAGCGGACCGGGTCAGAACCCCAGCCAATCTGGATTACCGCCATCCGGCCCCCAAGCTTCCCCCGCGCCTACGCCCGGCGGATCATCTCCGGGAGGCCCTGGTGATGTGGTTCAGCCCGGTCTCTATGTGACCTCTGAGATCCAGTACACGGGAACTCTTCAACTCCCAGGACGTGTAACAATCTCTTCGATTGCTCCGCAAGGCACAGCTCCGGGTACGATCATCGTCGCTGTTCCTCCCGGCCAGGCTTCAGCCGGTGGCTCTGCCGGTCCTTCGAATGGTGGTCTCCCGAACAACCAGTCACCGGCCGGTCAGCCAAACAACGCAGACCCAACAGCCTTCTTCAACACCCTGGCGGCACCTGGCGCGACGGCTGCTACTGGCGCTGGTAATGCTGGTTCTGGAGCATCAGCTCCTGTCAACGGCGGAACTCCTGGTGCCCCAGCAGCAACCGACCCTGCAACTGGACAGCCGCTGACCAACCCCGATGTCTTGTCCGCGGCAGCCTACATCACATCAACCGTCACTTCCGCTGGTCTTAGTGTTCCGAGAACTACCATCGCCACCATTGCCCCTCAAGACTCTCGACCGGGAGTGTTCGTTGTTGCGGTTCCGAATAACCCAGTCAGCTCTGGAGGCTCAGCTGTACCCCAGTCTAATGCTCCCGGTGCGCAAGTCCCTGGACAAACTGTCCTGCCTCAGACCATTCAGCCGCAAGGGGCTGTGTCGTCAGCTGGAGCTCAGTCAAACGTTCCCGGGGCTCAGTCTAACATTCCTGGGGCCCAATCCAATGTTCCTGGAGCCCAGTCCAATGTCCCCGGTGCTCAGTCTAATGCTCCCGGTACACAAGCTCCTGGAGTAACCGTTCAACCTCAAAGCATTCAGCCTCAAGGAGCTACTTCATCAGCTGCGCAGGGCAGTGTACCAGGACAAGCTGCATCTCAAGGAGGTGTCAATCCCGGCGCGACAGCAGCGACTCCGGGTGCCAACACCGTCCCGGGAGCCGGAGACCCCTTGGCTCAGGGAATTGTTACTGTCACCTCGACTGTCTTGTTTACGGGGCCGGGTCAGATTACTGCCCCGACAGCAATTTCTACGATTCCAGCCAACGGTAACAGCCCGCCGACTGTTATTCAGGCAATTCCTGATCTCTTCGTAACTGTCACCATCACCGTCACCGCAGCGGACCCGACTCTTCAGCCGACGGCTTTCTCTACGGTGCAACCGACAGGAAACACTCCGGGTACAGTTCTAGTAGCAGCGCCCGCCTCATTTGTCACATCACGAGTGCTCTTCACCGGCCCTGGCTCGATCTCGGCGGCCACTCCGATTTCGACGATCTTGCCTCAAGGGACTACGCCAGGAACAATCATCTTGGCGCAACCCTTCGTGAGCGTCACATCAACCAGGCCTGGCAGCACTGCTAGAACTGGACCAGCGGGCACGGTAACAGTCGTGACTACGATCTTCCCGTCCAACGGCCCTGCAACGGTCGTCTTTGCTGAGCCTGATCCGACAGCTCCCCTCTTCGGCTCCTTCGTGACATCTGTTGCGAGTGCCGCGAGCAACATTGCGTCTTCAGCTCTTGTTCCGGTGTCGACTGTCTTGCCACAAGGTTCAGTTCCCGGAACGATCGTGTTGGGGCAATCCGCCGCGCAGACACAGCCTGCTCCAGCTAGCAGCGGAGGCGCATCGCCTGCTAACACCCCAGCAGGTGCAGGAACATCACCACCGGCTTTGGCCAGCTCCATCGCTAATGCTCAGTCCTCACCTGCTGCTGGTGGTTCTCAAGCGGTGTCGTCGCCTGCTGGCGCTGCGACATCGCCACCGGCTTTGGCCAATTCCATTGCTAGTGGCCAGTCCTCGCCTGCCGCTGCTGCTTCGCAAGCTGTGCCATCATCATCTGCTCCGGGTATCCCGAATACGGGGGCACAAGCTGCCTCACCGGGGGCCTCTGCCGCAAGCTCGCAAGTGCCTTTGGACAACTTTCTCGGAATTACTGGACCGACAACTCTTGCCACTGCTACCGTGGACCCCAACGATCCTAACGGTACTCGAGGTGGTAGAGGTCTTGTGACTCGTTTTATCACCTCAGCTGGTGTCACTGGATCCACGACTGTGTCTACCATTGTTCCTACGGACCCGCTGCTGGCAATCACAGTTGTGGTCATTGTACCGGCGCTTCAGCAACCTGACATAACTACTCCCGCTACTTCCACCGGTAGAGGTATCACAACTAGCTTCATTACCTCTTCAGGGGTCACCGGAACAACGACTGTCTCTACCATCACTCCGTCGGATCCGCTCCTGCAGATCACGGTTGTGATTATTGTGCCAGCGCTGCTGCAACCTGCGGCAACTACCCCGGCCATTTCGTCCGCCAACACAGGTGTACAGGGGGCCTCGCAGACATCTTCTGCTCCGGCTCAGTCGGCTACATCAGTCCCAGCAGCGGTGTCATCCTTGCTCGTGGACCCGGCGATTCTATCATCAGCTAGCTCTGTCCTAGGTCAATCGTTCGTTCCTACTCCGTCGAACTCGTCACTGCCTCAGTCTTCTGCCGCGGCTTCTCCTGCGGCTCAGAGTTCCTCAGCTGGTCAGTCCAATGTGCAGCAGCCATCAACCACTCCCGCGGCTAGCTTGAGCGCTTCTCAACCCATTTCATCCTCGGTGGGAAGCACTCAAATTGGATCGTCGAACGCTGCGAGCATTGCTCCTTCAAGCGACGCTGCTCTCGGACAGTCCTTTGTAAGCTCGACTGGAGTTGGAACTTCATCAGTTGATCCAGCCGCTTCATCGTCTGCATCTGTGGGACCAGGGACCTTTGTTGCTAGCACCTCAGGCCCCAGCGGTGTTGTTTCTGCTACGCCAGGCGTTTCTCAATCCGCATCTGTTGATCCGCAATCACTGGCATCCTCTTCAGAAGCACCAGCTTCCGGAGGGCCTTCGTCAAGCGATTTCTCGTCACAGGCTGTTGGCTCTGTTTCGTCTTCGGGCTCTCCCCAAACCTCAACAGCAGCTCCTGTCGTCTCCTCGTCAACATTCCTGACTACTTCAGGCGGCTCAACCTTCTTGACTACAGTAGTCCAGACATCGAGTGAGATTCCGGAAAGCCAAGCATTCCAGTCAAGCGGCACCGCAGCGTCTACCGCAAGTGATCCCGCCTCTGGGTCAGTGTCTGCTTCTGCAAGCCTCTCAGTCTCACAGTCTGAGTTCGCTTCGTCATCCGGTACTGCCCCAGCATCTTCAAGCATTGGTTCCATCTCTTCGGACCCGGCCGTCTCCAGTCAATCTGCGGCAGAAACCCCGAGCGCTTCCGTGTCGATCTCAGACTTTGATATCTTCAGCTCGTCCTCAGCGCAAAGCCAGGCTAGCTCCGTGTCTGACCCCGCAGTCTCCAACGGAACGCTCACTCAATCTTCCGCTGCTCTTAGCTCGGAAATCTCATCATTTGCGACCATCTCTGAGAGTGCCAGCCCTGCCCCGTCAACAGGCCTTTTGACGTCCTCCGCTGAAACTCAGTCTGGCTTGACCTCCAGCTCTGAGGCACTTGGAGCTTCGTTGATCTCTACGACTCTGACTTCCCTCATCACATCAGACGGAATCACTTCGGTTTCAACGACTGTCCTTACGACGGCGATTAGTGCTTCCCAGCCTACTGAGACAGCATCAGGCGACACCATTTCCCCCAGTGCCTCCTCGGCTCTGACCTCAACAGACCCAGACTTTGCATCGCTTACGTTGTCTACCGCCAGTTCTGACAGCTCGACTAGCAACTCGGCCACAGATGCTTCAGCGTCCTTGAGCGCGTCCACGGAGGCGAGCAGCGCTAGCTTCGAAACATCAGCTTCTGATGCTTCCTCGTTCACGTTGTCCGACATTACCTCAGCTTCTCTCAGTAGCGAGGCCACTATTTCAGGCAGCACGGCCTCGGCTTCGGCCTCTGATACAGACACTGCCTTGTCGAACGTGTTCAGCAGCCCTTCGTCTTCAGAATCTGTCATCGTCACCGCAAGCACCGACTCTGCGGGCTCGTCAGCTACCACTTTCAGCTTCACAAGCACACCTGAGAGTATCACCACGGACTCGGCGTCGACCCTGTCTTCAGCCTTCTCTGACTCGAGCTCATTCAGCAGTGTCAGCGCTAGCGAGACAAACAGCGCAAGCACAACTGATACTTTCAGCGACGTCTTCCAATCCACAGTCAGCACAGATTCAGCATCTTCTCAGAGTACCGGTTCCGCTAGTGACAGCTTCACCAGCTTCGCCACATCTTCTGGTCCAGCCAGTGCGACCAGTAATAGCGCACTTACGTCCGACCCCACGTCGTCATTTGGATCAACGTCTGTGGAGGAGGCTTCATTCATCACAACCAGCGACGGGACCTCGACCTTCGTGACTTCGGTCTCGATCTCGAACCCCACGACTCAGTCATTCTCGGATGAGACATCAAGCGCTTTCTCAACCGAGTCATCAATCTCGGCGTCAGACCTGACCTCATCCGCGTTCACCACCGACTCGGCCTCCACTAACTCTGTATCTGATCCCACTTCTGGCTCATTCAGCTCCGAGGTCTCCTCAATCACTCCGACAACGTTGTCTTCTATCTCCGGCGAGTCCGCATCTTCTGTCTCACTCACCGACTCTTCGGCGCTTGGCCAATCCCTAGTGTCCTCGTCGAGTGACGAGACGGGCTCGGCAACTTTGTCCACGGCACAGACCTCGGCATCATTCACCTTGCCGACGCTGACGTCCGTCACAGACTCGGCGTCTCTCTCCGAGTCCAACACGGCCTCTAGCTTCGTGACGCCCACGGTCTCGTCAGAGAGCAGCATCAGCACCACCTCGGGACTTTCCACCACCGATAGTTTCTCGACTGGGTCGGGCCTGTCGACTGATAGCTTCTCAACCGAATCGGCCCTTACTTCTCAGTCAGAGTCTGCTTCATCCGCAAGTGAGTCCGGGTCGACTTCGCTGGACCTTGACACGTTGATTAGCACGACGAATTCCGGTGAGTCGACGATCTCTAGCGGCACAGAGACGCCATCGACCTTGAGCTCCGCTTTTACGACGGAGTCTACGGATTCGGCCTTCTCTAGCAGCACAGAATCGGTCTCTGGAGTCACCTCGGATCTCACAACAGCATCAACTGAGTCCGGTTTCTCAACAGCGTCGACGGAATCTGGTTTGTCAACAGCGTCAACTGAGTCGGTAGTCTCACAGACTTCCACAGCCTCAGACCCCACCATTACTATCAGCTTTATCACCTCGTTGGAGACCACCGATTCAGCAGGTTTCCAGTCATTCACCACCTTCACGACCAGCTCAGAAGTGAGCATCTCGACAGACTCATCCGCCGCGAGTATTTCGAGTGATTCTGAGAGCACATCGTTCACGTCGTTCTCTTCCGCCTCTGAAACTGACTCCGTCACTTCTCTTTCTTCCGACAGCTCGCTGAGCTCCTTCACGGACAGCAGCTCGTTCTCGGTGGAGACCACCTCTGGCAACATTGCGTCCAGTGAAAGCACCTCCAGCGACACGGCCTCCACCCAATCTGCCGTGTCGACAGGAAGCACTTCATCTGATTCTCTTCAGGACAGATCTCTGGAGTCAACATCCACGGACAGCGGTACCGAGTCGACTCTGTCTATTTCAACCGCATCTAGTGAGAGTTCAATCAGCTCGAGCGATGCTACCACGACGTCTGGGTTCACGTCTAGCGAGACTGAGTCTTTCTCTACTCTGCCTAGTGCTTCCCCAGGCGCCACCACGAGTCTCTCATCAGTTGAGACGGGCACCACATCCAGCTTCTCTGCATCCGAGTCGGACATCACTTCAACCAGCCTGGACCCATCGACCGGTTCTACTACGCTGGCAAGCGAGACCATCCGCTCCGCAACTAGCCTGGAGTTTGATAGTCTGTCGTCCTCGACTGACTCGCTGTCTACTGGTTCTGTGAGCAGCGGCGATAGCACGATCTCCTCATTTACAGACTCGGCCTCAACAGACTCTGCCTCGACAGACACCTCGTTCAGCTTGACGACATCGACTTTCGAGTCTTCAGGCTCCTTGACTGAGTCTATCTTCACTCTTACCCCTAGCACAACGAGCAACTCGTTCAGCTCAGAGTCCATCGCCTCTGAGTCGAGTGAGAGCTTGACCAGCGACAGCGCTTCAATCACCGGTACCTCGGCGTCATTGACTGCCTCAAGTGAGACCGATACTACACTATTCGACAGCTTCTCTCCTACTTCGACGCTCTCTGGTGAGAGCACGGCTTCCACCGGAGACAGCACCTCGACTGAGAGCTTCTCAACAGACAGTGCGTCAACGGACAGTATTTCGACGGCTAGCATCTCAACCGACAGCATTTCCACTGATAGCGTTTCGACTGCTAGTATCTCTACGGAATCCATCTCCACAGATAGCATCTCAACTGCTAGCATTTCGACGGATTCTATCACAACCGATAGTGCTTCGACCGACAGCTTCTCCACCGCCAGCGTTTCGACCGATTCCTTCTCCACCGACAGTGTTGCCACGGACAGTCTCACGACCGCGAGTGCATCGACGGACAGCATTTCCTCTGACACCATTACAGCGAGTGCCACCTTCTCAACTGACTCTGCGTCTACCGATAGCATCTCCACAGACAGCGCCTCCACGGATAGCATCGACCCCCAGAGCCTTGTTTCCACTGACTCTGCTTCATCCGACAGCAGCGCAACCGGCTTGACAACTCTCAGCGATGCTACTAGCACGACGGACTTCAGCGTGTCTCTCTCAATGGACTCCGTGACGAGCGCTTCGGACACCAGCGGTCTAACCACTGGAACTGAGTCGACAGACTCAGTAACGACTGCATCGGAGACCAGCGCGTTTACCACTGGAACCGAATCGACAGACTCGGTAACAAGCGCCTCGGACACCGCCAGCGGGCTGACTACTGGCACCGAGTCGACAGACTCGATTACGACCGCATCAGAAACCAGCGCTCTCACGACTGAAACTGCGTCTACGGACTCGCTTTCTTCCTCGAGCGCGGCCACAAGTGACTCCAGCCAGTCAGTGGAGAGTCAGATCTTCCAGACCGTATCCTATGATAGCACCGCGTCGGTGTCGACCGCGACAGAGTCAACTCTGTCCGACATCACAGCATCAGAGAGCACGGTGTCGGAAAGCACGGCAACCGGCAGCGCCTCAACTCAGAGCACGTTCTCTGACAGCATTACTACCGACAGCACTGCAACGGGCAGCACTGCCAGCGAGACTGGAATCACTTCCAGTAGCGAGAGTGTCTTGACCGATGCTTTCACCACCGAGAGCACCGCAACGGATAGTACTGCTACAGAGAGCATCACTTCTCAGAGCACGGCATCAGACAGCGCCATTACTCAGAGTCTGTCGACAGAGAGCACCGGCACAGAAAGCACAGCGAGCGAGACTGGAGTCAGCTCCAGCAGCGAGACTGTGTTGACTGATGCTTTCACAACTGAGAGCACGGCGACCGATAGCATCTCGACTTTGAGCACGGAAAGCCAGAGCACAGCTACCGACAGTGCGGCGACCGATAGCATCTCAACACAGAGCACTGCCACAGAGAGCACGGCATCCGATTCTGGAGTTTCCACCAGTAGCGAGTCAGTTCTGACTGATTCCCTCATCACTTCGGCAACCGACAGTATCTCGTCGCAGAGCACTGCCACAGACAGTACTGCTTCCGAGACTGGAGCGTCTACCACTAGCGAGTCTGTTCTTACTGATGTCTTTACTACTTCAGCAAGTGAGAGTACGGCCAGTGAGAGCACGGCAAGTGATAGCACAGCATCAGGAATCACAGCAACGGACAGCATCTCAACAGAAAGTACAGCTACGGACAGCACAGCAAGTGAGACTGGGGCCTCGTCTAGCAGCGAGACTGTTCTTAGCGACGCTTTCACCACCTCAACTCAGGACTCGACATCCTTGTCGGAAAGCATCAGCGCTACGGTTGTCACTTCTGATGGTATCACAACCACGCTGTCAGATCTTACCACTGCCTCCACAGACAGTGCCGCGTCAGACAGTTCCTTGTCCACAGCTACCGACGCTTCTCAGACAGGCTCGGATATCTCCACCGCCAGCGAGACTACTGCATCTGGAGCCACGTCCTCAGACGCCACGGCCACATCAGACTCAGAAACAGCGACTGCATCGGACGCTAGTATCTCGGCTTCAGAGACTGCCTTGTCGAACGCATTCTCTTCTCCTACAAGCGACTCCGTCACTGCTTCCACCACTGGGGATACCTCTTCGGCGTTCACAGGAACGACACTGTCAGACGGTCTTTCAATCACCGCCACTGATTCGACGACCCAGGTTAGCTCAACTATTTCTTCCGACGGAGAGACAGCCACCACATCGGATGCTAGCATCTCATCGTCAGAGACTGTCTTGTCAGATGAATCCTCTTCAACTACAGCTGACGCATCGACTGCGTCTGATGTCTCTTCGACAGCGACGGATCCAACGGGTGAGAGCACTACTCTCTCTGACACGCTCATCACCAGCGCCCCTTCAACTTCGGATACGGCCACCGTCAGCACTGCCGCCTCCTCGGATGACACTAGCCTGCTATCGGATGTCGTGTCATCTACTGACAGTCTGACGACAGATGGCGCAAGCTCCACGGATGCCTCAGCGTCTTCCACGGACACCATCACTTCCGCCGATGCTACGGCTACGGATAGCTCCAGTGTCCTTTCAGACCCGACCGCCTCATCTGACACTCTGACTTCAGCTTCCGCCACTTCCTCGGATGACGCTCTATCCAACGTCTTCTCATCGACTGACGCTACTGCCACGTCAGACAGCAGCGCATCAGACACTGCCTCGGCGTCTGACACCGGCATCACCAGTCCAGCATCTCTCTCTGAGACTGACTCCGCTTCCATCACATCGGATGTCGCCAGCGTGACGTCTCTGGACTCCGACCTCTCTTCGCAAGCCTCCTCGACGGACTCAATCACTGGATTGTCTACCGATTCGGCTACTGAAACAACTTTCACCGGAGCATCGTCTATCACCGATCCTGCGTCGTCTGCTACCAGCGACTCCTCTGCCGATCCTGACCTCCTCACCCAGGACAGCTCTACGAATTCCCTCACTGCATCTGCGACCGATTCAGCTAGTGACACAGCATCAACTGATGTTTCATCTGCCACCGATATCACGTCTGCCACCGACATTACATCTCCCGCAACTGGCAGCATTTCCGTGGATCCTGATCTTCAGAGCCTCACCTCAACTGGTTCCGAGAGCATCTCGACAGCTGACCCGACTTCCTCCGCATCTCTTACCGATAGTGCCATCTCGGCCAGCGGCACGTCTGAGACTGACAGTGTCTCGACTCAAGCTAGCACGACGGATGATTCTCTATCATCATTGACTAGCGCGTTGAGCGATGCTCTCACGTCATTGGAGTCGACGGCGTCGGAATCAGCCAGCGCAACAGATTCGGCCAGTGCTACGGACTCGGCCAGTGCTACGGACTCAGACACGGGCTTGCCAGCTAGTTTGACGTCGAGTGATGGAGCTTCAGTCACGAGCTCATCAGCCGACGGCACCACGGATATCTCAGCCTCAGCTACTGAGACTGCATCGGCCTCATTGACAACTTCAGAAGACGCTAGCAGCTCTTTGGACACGGCATCGGCTACAGGACCTGCCTCAGCGACGAGCTCGGCTGACGAGGACATTCTGTCCTCAATTCTCAGCTCAACGGCATCTGACGCAGTCACGTCGTCGGATCCAGGAGCCTCAGCTACGACAGAAAGCACAGCATCCTTGACGACCGCGGAATCTTCCAATGATTTGTCGTCCGCTCTGAGCTCAACTTCATCGCCCACGGCCACTCTTCCCGTTGACACCCAGATTTTGGAGAGTAGCACGTCCTCTTCCACTGATTTGGCATCCTCAGAGAGCGCGGCCGCATCTTCGGCTAGCTCTGCGGCCAGCGAGGCTTCCTCTACTCAAGCAGAGTCGGTCTCCAGCTCCCAGGGTGCCAGCAGTATCGCTTCTTCAGCCGCCACGAGCGGTCCATCAGCTACAACCGCGCTCTTCGACACGATCTCGATTCCATACACTGGATCAATCGGCGCTTCTGGTACTATCCCACTTACCACCTTCCTACCGACAGGTACAGGACGTGGAACAGTTGTCGTGGGCACGAACCCTGCCGCCTTTGTGACGTCCACAGTCAGCGGCGCCACGTCGTTGAACGGAGCGGTGGAGATCGCAAGTCTCGTCACGGTCTCAATAATCCCCCCTATTGGAACCTTGCCTGGAGTTTTTATCGTGTCGCCTGTTCTCAGAGCACGCTTCCTGACTACCACGGTTCGATACACGCCTACTGCAGGAGAGCAGATCACCGCACCGACGGTCCTGACATCGCTTGATCCCTCAGGAACTGCTCCTGGAATCATCGTCATCGCCGCCCCTGAGTCCTTCTTCTCAACGACCGACGCGGCTACGTCAGCTGCCACGACAGATCCATCAGTCAGTGACGCCAGCACCGACGCATCAGCGTTGCCCTCGTCACTGCTTGCGACAGCCAGTGAGACGGCATCAACTTCTGCGGACTCACCAACCTCTGCCTCGGCCTCAGAAGACCCAACGGCTACCATATCTGGCTCAACTGGTGAGAGTTCGCTCGCTGCGACACCAACCTCGGATCCCGCGGACACCAGTTCCGATCCTTCTTCGGCTACAGCCTCTGAAGACGCGTCTGCATCCTCGGACGCTCTTCCCGCAAGTCTCACGAGCCTCTTGTCATCTGCCACTGATGCCGCCTCAGAGACCCAGGCTACTACAGGCTCTGGCTCTTCAGTCGTCTCTCCGTCGGCTTCCATCAGCTTGGATGATGACTTGACCTCTAGCACCGCCTTCTCTAGGGCTTCTGACGCCGCAACCGAATCATCTATCGTCGCCAGCAGCTCAACAGACTCTGCCCTCGGTCAAGAAACCGCAAGCTCATCTGAGGGTGCTACCGTGTCCGACGAGAGTTCCTCAGGAGGCTTGACAAGCAACGTTTCACCGACAGCTTCCGCGTCCGATGATCCTACGGAAGCAACGCCTGGAAGCACGTCTATCCCCGAGACTTCAGCCGCATTAACCGCCTCGGCCAGCGCTACGAGCGAGGCTTCACAGGCACCAACCGGTAGCAGTGCCCAGGATACCGCGGCTCAGTCAAGCACCGATCCTTTGGGTGCCACCCTGCTGCCAACGTCGTCTGCCGCAGCTTCATCATCGGTTGCCTCAGCAGATGCATCCATTACTTCGGCAGATGTTACCAGCCAAGACTCCGTCAGCTCTGGTGCAACCACTGCGGCCACGGATGCGCAGTCTGCGAGTGCTTCGAGCCTTGTGGGAACGTCCACCGAAGCCGGCATCAGTGCAAGCAGCACACAAGACAACTCAGTCTCGCCATCCGCCAGTGTGACAGATGTCACCTCGCAGGCAGACGCGGCCAGCTCTGCGGCCTCATCGAGCGCAGCCGCTTCATCCGCTTCAGAGAGTGCTGATGATCAGATCTTCAGCTCCACGGCCATCTCGTCCGACGCTTCCGTATCTTCGGCGGCAACATCGTTGCCCACTTCCGCCTCGATCGATCCTCAAAGCCTTACAGCATCGGTAAGTCCATCGGAAAGCAGCCTCATCCCGTCAAGCACGCAGGCTACCGTTGGCTCGAGCACATCCTCAGCCATTAAGACAACAAGCACCGAGGAATCTGCCATTCAGTCCAGTTCAACTGAACCTACGGCCGCACCTTCCCTCGATGCCAGCTCCAGTGCGATTCAGTCCGCATCCTCGGAGATTGCAAGCTCGTCAGCGGCTCTTTCAAGCGCAGCTGCCTCTTCTGCTGAGCCTAGCCCATCCTCGAGCGAGCTTGTAGAATCGAACATCTTGAGCTCCACGCAGCAGTCAACGGCCGTCGCACCGACGTCAAGCAACGGTGAAGTCTCTGCTTCCAGCCCAGTGGCTTCGTCTAGCGTCGAGACATCTGCCTCGGCCTCGTCAGCGGCAATCTCCTCAGCCATCCCGTCTTCCAGCATTTCAGCCACCAGCGGTCCTGCTTCGGTCAGCTCCTCCGTCGTCGCCTCATCCCCAGAGCTTGACACCATTATCCCCAGTTCGACAACTGCTGCATCCAGCTCCTTGGTGGCGGTATCAAGCTCTCTGGCTGCGAGCTCCTCGGCCGCAAATTCGGTTCAAAGCCCTACTTCCTCCGCGGTCTCAAGCCCTGCTATCTCAAGCGCGCCAGCCACTTCATCGGAAACAGGCCTGGACAACATCTTGTCCTCTTCAAGCTTGGCTGATGTCTCGAGTTCAGCTGCCGCATCGGCATCTCAATCTGCCTCGCCGGCGGCCTCCTCTGCGGTATCTTCTGCACCCGCAAGCAGCGCCCCAGCAAGCCAAGCAAGCAGCGCAGCTGCCAGCTCACCCGCCATCTCTTCAGCTGTATCGTCAGCCATCTCATCAGCCGCAGCGGCAGCCAGCAGCTCTGCTGTCAATCCTTCGAGTAGCATCTCCGGCCTAGACAACATCTTGTCGAGTTCCTCGGCCGCCGCCCCCGCAGTTTCATCCACCGCTGCCTCGCCAGTGGTCTCATCCTCATCTCCAGCTGCACAAGCAAGCAGCGCGGCAGCAAGTGCGTCGGCCAGCGCCTCGGCCGTCTCATCAGCTGCTTCAGCAGCGGTGTCTTCGTCGATCAGATCAAGCAGTCCAGCCGCTGCTCCAGCGAGTAGTTCGGCTGAGAGCCCTTCAAGCAGCCTCTCTGGTCTCGACAACGTCTTGGCCAGCTCCACTACTTCGTCTGTCAGATCATCATCTACCCCTGCCTCGGCATCGGCGGCTTCTTCAACTCAGCCCACCGCCGCGTCAAGCTCCGCCGCTGCATCGTCTGCGGCACCGGCAGCTTCATCGTCCTCGGCGGTGCGGTCTTCCTCCGCAGCTGCATCTCAAAGAAGCTCTGCATCCCCATCGGTCAACCCGGCGTCCTACGTCACATCACAGCTGTTCAGCGCCGGTATTACCGCCCCTACGACCATATCAACTGTCGCGCCACAGGGAAGTGTCGCTGGTACATATATCGTAGCCCAGCCGGCGCTCTTCGTCACCTCTCAGGTGTTTAGTGCTGGCATCACCGCCCCTACGACCGTTGCAACTGTCCCGCCGCAGGGCACTGCCGCTGGTACATACGTCGTTGCCCAGCCTGCGGTCTTCGTTACATCACAGTTGTTCAGCGCCGGTATCACGGCTACCTCAACAATCTCGACCATCGCACCACAAGGCAGCGCTCCTGGCACTTACATCGTGGCTCAGCCGGCGCTCTTCGTCACTTCTCAGATGATCAGTGCGGGCATCACCGCTCCTACGACCATCTCAACTATTGCGCCGCAGGGTAGTGCTGCTGGAACATATGTCGTGGCCCAGCCCGCGCTGTTCGTCACTTCACAGGTTTTCAGCGCCGGTATCACTGCTACCTCAACAATCTCGACTGTTGCGCCACAGGGTACCGCTCCTGGCACTTATATCGTGGCCCAGCCTGCTCTCTTCGTCACGTCTCGGGTGATCAGCGGTGGCATCACCGCTCCCTCGACGATCTCGACTATCGCGCCGCAGGGTAGTGCTGCTGGCACGTATGTTGTAGTCCAGCCTGCGGTCTTCGTCACTTCTCAGGTTCTCTACACTGGAGGTGACCCAGCTGTGACCGCTCCAACCGCGATCTCGACGATTGCGCCCTCTGGAACGGCACCAGGCACTGTGATCGTCGCCTCTCCTGGATCCTACGTCACCTCACGAGTTCTGTACACTGGAACAAATACAGCAGTCACAGGACCAACTCGAATCTCAACCATCCTTCCGTCAGGATCAGTGCCCGGAACAATCATTGAGGCCGACCCTGCTTCGTACATCACCACGACAGTACAGTACAGTGGCCCGAGTACTCTGACTGGTCCCGTTGCAATTTCCACCATCGCCCCCACTGGAGTCGGCGCTCCCGGAACGATTATCGTTGCAACACCCGCAGCAGTCTTCGTGACCTCTCAAGTGCCGTACACTGGTACCGTTCCTCTCACGGCTCCGACCACAATCGCGACTATAGCTCCTAGCGGAACGAACCCGGGCACATACCTCGTTGCTAGCCAAGCCCTTCTCTATGTCACTTCTCAAGTGGCATACAGCGGAACAGCTGCCATCACAGCGCCTACAACGATAGCAACGATTCCACCCATTGGTACTAACGCTGGCACTTACATCGTGGCGACTCAGGCAGCCCTATTTGCTACTTCTCAGGTTGCTTACAGTGGCACAGCAGCTATCACGGCTCCGACCACAATCTCGACCATTGCTCCGGTTGGCACTAATGCAGGAACTTATATCGTGGCGAACCCGGCCCTTTTCGTCACCTCTCAGGTGGCTTATAGTGGCACAGCTACCATCACAGCACCTACAACGATAGCAACTATTCCAGCAGTCGGCACGAATGCAGGCACTTACATCGTGGCGACCCAGGCAGCCCTTTTTGTCACCTCGCAGGTTGCGTATAGTGGTACGGCAGCTATTACAGCTCCAACTACGATCTCGACAGTTGCTCCTGTTGGCACGAACGCAGGCACCTACATTGTCGCCAACCCGGCTCTCTTCGTTACTTCCCAGGTTGCCTACACCGGTACAGCTGCGATCACAGCACCAACCACCATCTCAACTATCGCCCCCGTGGGTACGAACGCAGGCACTTACGTGGTTGCTGCTCGTTTCATTACCTCTGCGGTGGTATACAGCGGCGCAAGCTCGATCACTGGCCCTGTCCCAGTTGCAACCGTACAACCAAGTGGCACGGCTCCAGGAGTCATCGTGGTTGCTTATCCGGCTTTGTTCGTCACATCGACTCAGGCGTACTCAGGAACTATTCCTATCACCGGCCCAACAACTATCACGACGATTGCCCAGCAAGGTACTGTTCCAGGTACCGTGGTCGTGGCAACTCCGGCACAGCAGGCCTCTTACGTCACCTCAACTCTCTTCCTCACGGCGGCTAACGCAGCCTCAACGACAATCACAACAATTGCACCGGCCGGTACGGCGCCCGGTACCGTCGTTGTCGGCCTTCCGGCTCTCTTCGTGACGGTCGTCGGCCCATACAGTGGCACGGCTACACCAACTGGCTCCACGACAGTTTCCATTGTTCAGCCATCAGGAACCGCGCCAGGCACTGTGTATGTCCAAACGCCTACGTCGGCATCTGCGGTGGCAGCATCAAGCACACCTGTCCTCGGCCAAAGCTTAGTTGCCAGCTCAACAGCAGCCGCAGCCGCTTCATCCAGCAGTCTATCAACCCTGGTAACCAGAGCTGTCACTGCTTCTTCCTCGTCTCCAGCCGCGGCCGCGTCCTCTTCAAGATCATCAACAAGCTCTGCAGCGGCGGTGGCGGCGTCATCATCCTCTTCAGCACTATCCGCAAGAGCTGTGTCATCGTCTCTGTCAAGCTCCTCTGCCGCTGTGTCTTCATCAAGTAGAGCCGCAGTCAGTAGCAGCAGCAGCTCCAGTGTCAGATCCACGTCTACCTCATCAATCAGCCGCTCGGTAGCATCAGCCACAGCGGGAGCCGCTTTCTCTTGTCCCACAACTGGATACTTAGTTCAAAGTGGCAGTACTGTGACATTGTACTCTATCAATCTTGCCAATGGTGCTCAGACAGTAGTCACAAGCAACCTCGGCGGCGACAACACGCGCAACATCAACGCCCTTGGTTACAACTCTCGAGAAGACTACATGTACGCCATTTCTCAGCCCAACACCGGAACGAGCGACTACCGCGTCATCCGTATCCTTGGCAACGGCAACACGACAACAGTGTCCACATTTACTCAGGCATCTAAGCTGTACAACGCTGCCTTCAACACCGGAGATATCGACCAAAATGGTCAATACTGGATTTCAACCAGCGGTATCGACTGGTACCAGTACGACTTCTTGCCTGGTTCGGCCACGTACGGAAGACTGGTCGGATCAGGACTGGTTGACGGTGGAGCCGATGGGTACACCGTGGGAGACTGGAGTGTTGTCCCTGGAAGCGGAGGTGGAGATCTTTGGACAATTGGTGTCAAGAACTTCAACTGCGTCCTCATGAGATGGAGCCGCACCACCAAGGACTGGACCATCGGACAGAGCCTGGGCGCTTTGACCGGAGTCACGTCCGGAACCGCACCGTTCTGGGGTGCTACCTACGCTACGACTGACGGATACCTCTACGCCGTTGAGAACAACTCCGGACAGGTCTGGAGAATCGACGTCGACGGATCATCTCCTCCGGTTCAACAGACCAGCGTACCGTCTACGAGCAGGAACGATGGAGCCAGATGTTTGGACTCGGGAAGCGTATAAGGATTTATGATAACATGTCTTACTTGATTTCTTTTGTACTCGACTCCACATCGTGGAAGTCCTCCACTCGGGCAGAATGCTTGACTGCCATTGAACATTAAAACATCAGTCTTAATCATAATAGTAATACCATTTTCATTTCAATATTATTCTCCATCAACTACGAGTGCACTGGCGTGAGATGACTTAATGACGCTAGTTCATGGTAGAGAGCAATCCAACTTGGGCATCTTCGAATGACTCCACCCAAGTCGAAGGTTGTGTTGGTTTATTCGCCTACTTGATCTACTGTCGAGTTGAGTGGCGACCTCGAGCCTAAGCTCCCACCCAATGCTGCTGTGTATGCAAGATGCCAAGCTAAACTCTGTCCATCCAAGTTGGTGCTATTCACCGCCTGGCTCTTCATGAAGTTGTAGCTCTCAACCGCACCAGCCTTATCAGCAATGGCAAGATTCACGTAGACGTGGCCGACGAATCCATCCCCAGAAAGCGCGCCGCTCTTGTTTCCTGCAAAGTACTGATCCCACTCTTCACGCACAAAAGACGGCTTGCGAACGTATGCGCTGCTGGGCACGATTGGGAGCATGTGGATACCCTGAATGAAGCTGGTTTTGTCGCCGAAGTAGGTTGTATGGTTGACCTTTCGATCCCACAAGATTCCCGTCACTCGGTTGTCGATGAACTTCTCTGGCTGCACCTTGTTGTCGCTGGCGAGCAGGAAATAGGACTGCAAGCTACGAGCCGTGACAGCCAGCTGAAGGTTCCCGCGAGCCTCGAGAGCCTCATCGCCAATGGTGCGTCCCCACATCTTGATGGCATAGGTTGAAAAGGCGTCTTCTGCCGAGGACTCTTGATCTTTCCCATCAGGAGCCTCGAGAACACCACGAGCCCAACTGTGTCCGTGAAACCAGTCGAAGGAGCGCGAGAATGGGAAATACGGGTCTTCCGACGAGGGGTTGGACCAGTCTCGGATCAAGTTGTTGACCCAGACTTTGTTGACCGAGTCGTTCTTCTTGAGCCATGACGGGTTGAGGTGCCCTATGATTGCGGCCGTGTAAACGTAGTATCCGTAATGAAAGTTGTGGTCGTTGTAGTAGGTGTTCCCGAAGTCAATTGAGGAGTCATTGTTTCCGTACGAGCCAGAAGAGACCAGGCCTTTCCAGACATTGTCGTAGTAGAGGGGGTTTGGCTCGAGGTTGTTGACGTATCTGTCAAAGGCTGCCTCGAGCTTGACTAGTGCGTCCTTAGTGTACGACCTGTCTCCAGCGATGCTGTTGACCGCATAGAGAGCCCTAGCGTATTTCGAGAAAGCGATACCGGCATAGTATTTGGAAGTCAAATTGGTGATGGCAATGGCATCCAACTCAAGCTCCAACTTCCCAGCGGCAACAATCGCGTCTTTGGCCTCGGTGGATACTGTGCCGCCTCTTGCTTCCCGGGATCCGACCGAGCCCAGACGCGGCGACCAAGGATCAAATCCCATGTCTGTCGGAAGATCCGGCTCTATCATCGTGAACGAGTCTCCAAAAGTCGCAGTTGCAATGCCCTTTGTCGTACTCGCGAGCTGGAGGTCAGTGAGACCTCTGGCGGTTTTGCTGTCGAAAGATTTGACATGGTGCGGCAGAGCGAACATGAGTAGGGGGATGGTTTTGTCGCCGCCCTTCTTCCAGGAAAATGTGTACGATCCCGTTCTGCCTGATACCGATCCTTTCATTTCTCCTCCGATGGGGTAGACTCTCGCAGCCTGGCCGAAGATGCGAGCGCCGTTCTTGCCTTTGGGATTCCTCGCGACTTGCACACTTCCTGTGAAGTTACCGGGTCCTACGATAGTTCCGTTGTTGGCCATGGTAAGTTTAGGCGTCTGAGAGCCGCGGCTTGGGTTGACGTAGATCAGCCACTCAACGGGCTGCCCATTTTCGCTCACCCAAGTTCTCCAACCGGGTGCCCCAAGCCCACGGGAATCGTCCTCCAATCTGGTGAGATCTAAAAAACCTCTTTGTGACTGAATCAGGACCGTAGCACCGTGGTAAACTCCCGTCACGAACGCCATTCCTTGGACCAGGGGAAACGAGACAATAGGCTCGGCCCCTTTCCTCGGTGCCAAGTTTACATTGACCGCAAAAGATGTCAAGGAGTCGGTTGTCAAGACAGTTCCATTCTGTAGCTCTCGTGCCGATAGAGCGATAGACTGCTTGAACAACGGGTCCTCGAAGGATTTGGCTGGGTCACCGGAGCCGTAGATGAAGTCCTCCCGGTTCGTATGCGAGATTGAAAGACCATGACCCTGCTTGACTGTATCGTTCGACCACCAAACCGAGTACGGATGCGTCCATGTAGCGTTGTCCTGATTGTTGGCAAAGAAATTGGCGTAGAATTTGTTGGTCTGAATCGGTCCGTCATGGCGCACGCCCACGGGCTTTTGGGGGTGATCGTCTCTAGTTGGGACCAAGATGGGCCGATCGTCAGAAATGGGCTGAAAGACGTTGACTGGCCGTCCTCTTCCCAGGTTTGAGGAGTCCGTGGTATTTTCGGGCGCCAAGATCGATGCTTGCCGCCTGTGCTGATGCCGTGGTGAATGGTGCGGGTAGACTGCTTGTATCAACGCCAGGACGGCGAGGATAAAGAGGGAATGCATTTTCGGAAAAGACAGACTCAACGACACAGCAAGTGTGAACGTATGGCACAGGCACAGGCACAAGCAACAGCAGCAACCAAAGTTGAGTGGGACGCGTGGAAAAGGGCGGCCATGGTTCAAATATTGAGATCTCAAAGGTAAAAAGAGAATTTTGTTGTTTCGTTGTTTCAATTGAGGGGGCGATGAGGGGACTCTCCAGCTTCTTCAGGGGATTTTGAGTTTATCATCATCTTAAATCTCATGCATTGCTACGTTGAGATCCCAGGCGAACTCAAATCTGAGTTCGGATCGTTGCTTGGTCTTTCCTCTTCATTTATTTCATATGGGGCCCGTTTCATCGGGGTTGATCGACGCGCCGGCTGCCCGCCGGCTCCTCCGAGAAGCTGTGCTAACCCCTTTTCGGTACAGCGATGTCCTCGTCTCAAAAACTGTTTTACAACACAGCAAAAATGACTCTAGAAATTGAATTAGACATCATCAACGGATGGTTCCGCGGAGCGAGGTTGCGAAGTCGCAAATGCGTGGCCCGAAAAGCATGATATAGCATGATATATGTGTCTGTCCTTCTTCTCACCCAACAACCACAGCCTGAATTTGTAGTGTCGCGCTTTGCGTATATTAAAAGAGTGGCGGAGGCGCTGGTGAGGATGCAAAGAAGCAACATCGGCAGCCACATGCCCTCACGTAATCTGCATCTCCTAGCTTGTGTCATCACCATGTACAAAACTGCAAATCTCAGGAACAACACGCCAATAATCATAGACAAGTGACAATGTATGTTTCGACCGATTCAGCCCTGATTGCAAGCTCAACAACTATGCTCCTCCCATGCGGCGCTCAATGCTCTTGTAAATAATGCAAGCTAAATGAAGGTTTGAATATCTGCAGTTGACCCCAGGCCACCGAAGATCCTTTCTATTCCCATTCTCAACCCGTCATCGTTGTTTCAAGGCGCGGACATTCGTCATACCACCTGAACACAGAGGCTGTGAGATTACCGCGGATTCGCCTGCGGAGCAGTGGTAGACACTGCCGTACCCGCCGCAGGCGACCATGACCATGGCATCGGCCGACCCAGCTTGGAACGTAAAGCGATCTGCGTTCTGAGTGACGGAAGCTCCGTTGCTACAATCGTAGAAGTTATTCGGCTTGAGGGCGCAGTATCCAATTATGTCGTAATCGTTCGGCTTGCCGCTGAAAGAGCCCTGGGCACAACTCGCGAGGGTTTGGCCCGAGAGCAGGCCCACGACTACGACGGCGGAGCAAGAAAACTGCATGTTGGCTGGGCGTGATCGGGGTTGAGATAGAGAGACCAGTCTACATGCCATGTCCACGTTAATGTGCTGTCCGAATCTGCTTGAGGTCTGTTGGGATATACACTTACTTTGCTGAGATGGAAAGCGAAAATTGATTGCGTGGTGACTAGGATTCCATCAGTAGAGGTTGCCGTGCAAAAGCTGAGTATTTATTCTATAGTTCCGGTGGAGGTTCCTTGCACCCATGCTGCTCGGAACCGCTGGGAAGTAGACAGTTTTGCAGGACTCATCTTGCGAGGAACTACGGATATTGAAACTTTAATCAGTCTCAGAGTGCACTCTAACATACGATACAAGTTTCTACACCTTGGCATCTAATTATACGACATGCATACTTGTAAGACCGGGTTTTGTCTAGGTGCCATAATAAGTCACAATCCACGTGATTGCAGTCATGTAGATACACGTAGACCAAACTTAGGGTCTCACATGTAGCTGATGCATCTACAATGACCTCATATCGCCCGAATGACTGCGTCGTCTTGTGAGCATCGCGCAGAGTGCATATGTCCAAAGGCACATCCTAACGAGTCTCCCCAAGTACTTGTGCCGCATCGTATCCTATACTATACACGCTAATACTTTCTTAATATGCATAGTGAGAGCAAAATCGAGGTTTGGGCTGCCAGCATTCAGGCCGCTAAACAATACGAATCGTGGAGCTTTGGCATGGCTCCTCATCTTTGGTCCTGCGGGCAGCAAGACCAATGACATTGCAAGAAATGCTACAACATAATCCCACAGAGACAAGATCATGTCCTGCCGGGGCTATGCTATTGGCGTTCTCGTTTTGTTCAAGAAGAATAGAGAGTTCACGGGCGGGCTTGTTGCGACGATTCAGGGGCTTCTAGGTACGACCCCACCTACGTACCCAGACTATGTTGATCCTGGCTTGGTGGAAGGCCAGCAATCTTACTGGGGTTTCCATTTAACCGTGTTGGAGTCGATAAAGTCAAGGTGGGAGCCGGAGGATATTTTTTATAATCCACAAAGTGTACGATCACTGGCATGAACGCCCGCTGAAGGGTTTTTTGGGGGACATGGGGGTAGGGTCCTGGGCTAGCAGTGCAGGTTCGGTAGCACAATAGTCTCCGAATATGCAATCAAATCGCAACTTATGCGTACTGAACAAGGAGTGTTAGCTGGTTCGATGATCAGATGCTTCGGTTGCTTTGGCTCGGGTGTGCCGAACGCCGTGCCGGTGGGATACGGGGTTAGCGGTGAGGAAAATGTCCGTCGACTCCGGAACATATCGGCATTGGATCGTACTTGTCAAATCTTTCGCGCGAGGTTTCCACAGAGTCGTACGGCATTGACCATATTCATTAAACAGCAGTTTTCAGACATTCGGAAAAGCTATTGCTTGACCTATAATGGCAGAATGGCGCGCTTCGCAGCGTACAGTAGCCCATACGAACGCCCTAATCGCGTGGTATGGGTAGCGTATTCTTCGTTGTTATTGTTGCTAACACATTGAAAGTGCGATTCGTGTCATTCGACAAAGGTAACTCATCCCTGAATGTGCTTGTGAATGAATTTCTGCAGCCAATCTTACCGTCCGAGGGCAGATCACATGTGATCGTCAAGAAGTATGTCGCCAGTGTATGGCCGCTGGCATAATGTGCCTTCGTAGACGTCCAAAAGAGTCGCGTCGGACACGAGAAATATCAGACAATGGCTTGCTTCAACCAAACTCAGGTCGTCAGCAAGGCCCCATTGAAGGAGCTCTGCTTGACTCACAGCCCCTTACCGCCATCAACGAGCAGACCTCAGCGCCTCGAGATTTGAGTGTGTCTGGAATTTCCAATGCTCAACGCCAGACATCGCCAACGGAGTCACAAGGAACTGCCGGTACAACAATTCAAATGCAGGAAACAGACACCACGTCAAATCACTCATCTTCGGAAGTCAGCGAGACGAAGTTCTTGTACTCGCAAGCTGAAAGACTCCTCGTATACTCGATGGAAATCCGGTTCAAGGACAACGAGTTTCCTGGGCGTCACATTATGGAGACGGCGTTGAAGCAGGTTAGAACAGCGACGGGGACGACATCGACAAGCAAGCATGCTCCGGAACCTGGTTTTGTAAGGAGCAAGCCGTATCCGAGTATCGAGCTGATTGACAGCATTCTAAGCTGTACGGAGTTTTCTTTTGATGTCAACATATGGTTAACTAATTGGCTAATATCGATGAATATTAGGGAAGGCCCAAAATACCGGCTTGAAATACATAGCTGACTTACAGTCAGTGATTTCTCTTGAGCTGTTAGAGGCCCAGTGGCTGGCCATCCGCAACGGACAGGTCGAGGGACCTTTACGAAACCACTATATAGTCTCGGTCAATTACGCAGCATGGTGCTTCATAGGCATTAAGATGGCCGAGACTGCCAGTGGCGATATTCATAAGCACCTGAAATCGAGCAAAAGATTCTACGAACAAAACATCATCTATGGTCTCCAGCATATGAGCGTGGCCGACTTGCCTACTACCGCACTCTTCCAGGCTCTATTATCGGGGGTAAGTGTATCTGTATCATCATTGAGAAAACCACATGTTGACCGGTCGTTTCGACATTAGGCGATGTTTGCTTTCAACGTCGGGTGCTTCGAAAGAGCATGGACCTTCAATGCGGCAGCCTGCCGAGTGTACGAATCCCTCCCACTCAGTGATTCCTCAGAGGCAATTCCCGTAGGCCAATCAGACACAAAGCATGCCTTCGAGCTGGGCTATCTCCTCGACAAGACCTTATCTCAAACCATGGATAGAGCACCATCGCTTACGCCAGGGCGCATCTCGGAACGAACTGTTCCGCAGGACTCCATAAGCCCTGTCTATGGTCTCTAAAAATTGTTCTCTGACGTAGCTGAAGTTCAGGATGCCGTTGTGCGTGCTCTTCGGCACCCAAAGAATAGCCATAGCCACTCGGAGCAAGTTGAGAATTTGGAGCGCACAGTGCATGGACTCAGGGGTGATTTAGAAAGGGTCAAGAAGTCAGCGCTTGCCAAATATCCTTCGCTAACTCTGACTTGTAGTATCGTTGTATTTGCGAAACCGACCGCTTCTGGGCCGGCGAGGTTGCGGCAACGTCGTACGCTGCGTCTGCCATTATGACCTCAGTCTTGCAACTCGACTCGTCGACTTCGAAGAATTCACTTAGACGGAATAAATTACTGGCTTATGCTCGGGATTCTCTGAGATAGCCCCTCTCTGCGTTATCATATCTATCAACGGTTCCAGACGGCTACGCCATCAAACTGTCCATCTCATGGTAAATACCCCCTCAAGTTTCATCTGTGCCAGCTGCTAACAATGGCAAGGAAATTGCTGTTCTATCCAATGAACCCATATCTCACTCTCTACGCATTTATGCTCGCACATAATGACGTTGAGACATATTTCCTCCTATCGGAGGTAACTCGGGGATTGGTGAGCGTTACGTGGGATAATGAGCCTTTCACCGAGTTGATTTCTCTCTTGTCATCGCTAATGGGCTTGGTTTCCAACATGTTCTCAGGACAACCAGGTCCCAGCCAACAAACCAAATCTCAGGTGCCATCGATTGAGAGTTTGGGCACTATCCAACCGGAATCGCTAGTTGTGGATGAACCGATGACGGAAGAGCAACTTCTCAGAGTACTAATGTCGTCATTTCAGTGTAATACTTGCACTGGGCTCACCATCAGTCCCCTGGCCATCTTATGTAGCTGGATCTACGATAACCCAGATGACCTGGAAAATCGAGCATTCAACGGGGAATGAAAGAACGAAGTTGAGCAGGCTGGCTGGGAAAGATATCTGAAAATTTAGCTAAATTGGGCTGGCAGGACTCCTTGCCTTTGCTACAAAATGTGGGGACAATGTTCAGGCCACACGGAAACTTCCTAAAACGGCAATGCCCGGCTCCGCCCGAGAAACCGACGAGCCGGATCTCAACGGCGGTAGGAATATTTATCTCGAAGCAAACCGCTGTTTAAAATTCTCCTTTTGACTTGCAGTGGAAAAACACAATCACAAATCAACTACTTCGCAATCAATCAATATGCCTGTCTCTCCCGAAGCCCTCACCCTCACCCTGGCAGGGTTCATGAGTGGTCAGTTCCCAAGCTATTTCGCACTCCGATCATCATCTCATGTTAAAATGTCACAGGTTACTACTTCAGTGGCACTTTTGTCTTCAAGCCCGCCGTTCAAAAGGCACCTTCCCCTTTGGTGGCTCAGCAATGGAAGCGCGCCTGGGACGTCGGCCGATATGTGGGGAAGGTTGTCGTCACTGGCACTGCTGCTATCTTTGCCTATCTGGCCTACTCAGAGCCTGTGAAGACTGGAAATAACCGGTTCCAATTGTTTGCCGCTGCGGCTGGCATCGTCGGGGCAATCGTCCCTTACACCATCTTCGTCTCCTACCCCTTCAACGAGGCAATCAATGGGCAGCTTGGGGCAACTGAAAGCGAAAAGACGGACTTGAAGAAACTTGTGGCTGACTGGGGACGGACTGACTGGAAGGGATCTTTGCTTGCATTCGTTGGAACTGTTGTGGGAGTCTGCGGTGCTCTGGCTTGAGGCTGTCTGTTACCTATTGCTTCATGTCCAACTCGCTATGAACGGCCACAACCAATTCATCTTTGTCTGTAACAAGCTATCGTAGAAATACGTCATGATTTGAATCTCTCATACCAAATTACTGTGTCGCAGTGACTGAAGGAGCCTAAGCGGCGTTGATGTCAGATGGCATTCCACTAGTTTGTATGTGGTGCTCAAATTCACGTCGCACAATGTTATTGAGTAGAATCATTTATCTAGCAACGAGCACGACCAGTTTCAGTTTCTGTCTGCTTTTTATCTCAGTAGTATAAGCTCAGTAGACATGTGCTGGCGTTGTGTTCACTATCTATTAACCGCAAGAGATAGAGAGTGAGATGATGAACATAAAGTTCATCATCTCATTCCTTCTCGTCGGCAGATAATCCTTTTTCATTGTCTAGCCAGTTTACCAAGTAGCTTTACTGGTTTATCGGCACTGTCTGTGTCAGTCCCAACATACCTTGCGGCGACGTGGATGGGGCTTTTGCAGATGCAAAGCCAACACGTATCAGTGCTGATGTCGTGTCACCACGTGATACTTTCTTGAAAATGGAATATTCTTGGGTAAGAGGTCCCATCTTTAACTGTTTATTGTTCTATCGAAGGCTTAGATAGATGAATTGAATGACTGTAATGATCAACGGGCCTAGTGCATAGTACCATTTGAAAACGTCTACCATAAAGGGAAGAACAGTGACCACACCCCAACCTGACAAGAATATGAAGAGCAGAATACAAAACAGTGTCAGCTGAAATCTCGAGAGTCGGTCATCGCTAATGTATAGTCCCAGGACCACAGCAATACAACAGTTCATGGGCTGCACAACAAAAACCGAGAAAACAGAACTTTTCAGCAAGGAGGACGGTTTGTCGACGATGATAAATATAATGCCGGGCATGAACAAGAGTATAGTGACCACCACTGCGAGGAACTGTAAACAAAAAAACCACATTACGATACTCATCCACTGAGACAGTGAGAAGCGGAAAGAGAGTGATGTTCGTATGTCGACGTGTCCTATACCCGTCGTAGTGTCTTGGTTTGGCAACATAACAATTCCCTCGCTATTCCTGAAGTGTACTGCTGACGAAGATATCGGCTTTGGCACACCATCTACTGAAGTACTTTCGGCGTTATTGGGGAATTGCTGGAGTTCGTCGAGTGGAATCTCTTCAAGATCGGTTTGAGAAGGAAGTCTTGGCGTCTTGATACCCGGCTCTGGATCGATATCTCGGAGCAGACACGACACCTGATTCAGCATATCGTTACCCCTTCTGTAAGTCACCATGGTTTCTACTTAGGAATTGACTTATTACCAATTCGATAAGCAGCAAGTAAAGACACCGCTTGTCTAATAGATTCCGTATCATCGTCTTCCCTGCTTTTTGTCTTTTGTCTTTTAAAAATGGCGAATATAGCCAGAGAAACTGTTGTGATTGGGCCGAGTAAAAGGAATACTGGCACAACCTGTCCGAAGCTCCATTCATTTTCGGAGCCATCAACATCGGCAGATAATCGCGCCTCGAAGAGACGAATAGTGCCCCAGACAGACGATGTCAACAGCCAGAAGACCTACAACGTTACTGCTCAACAATTTGCTGTCCAGTGGAAAGGCGCTTTGCCTAGGAGCCTTTCACGTCAATGTGATACGAGTGGTACTTAAATCTGCCATTTCCGATGAAAACATATCCAGATACAGTTTACCAACCAGATACAATGCAATCATCAGGTCCAACGGCCGAAATATGGCCAAAAGCTTCCGTCGCCACGTCGTGGTACCGAAATGCGGGTAGAATCTGGCTGTAGCCATTAGACAATACGATGCCCAATCGCCAAGTCTTTGTCTTATGGTGTCTTTGGCAATGTCTGAAAGTTTCCGACACATCTTGACTGACCGACTGGTGAAGCTGAACGTTAAGATAAGGATTGAGATGACCGACGACTCGTATGCTGTCGTGGCTAGAGGTGTCGGTTTTGTGCCACCGTAGAACACCTTTTCATTGCACGGATGCCCATCATGGGATTTCATATTTTCGCAAAGTTGACTATCCCACGCAGACTGGATAGAAGTTCGACTGAAAAAGCAACGAGCATTCGAAGCAGGCACGCTTGCCGTTCCTTCGTACCAGCCAGGAAACTGATAGCCCCAATTTAAATACCCTGTTGGCACTGTTGCCGTAATCAAGCCAGCAAGTAAGATGACCATCAAGATCATTCGAAGGTTTCGTTCCACTTGATGGTGGTATAAGTACTGTCGTAGGGCGGTCAGACAGGCCGCATGCGTTAAGTTCGAGAACCACACTAGGTAGCTGATGATGTGCCAGTGATATGCCGAGATGTAGCAAGTCAAGCTGATGAAGCTACTAAACAGAAGTCCAAATCCGGTTAAAAGTTGGACGTCGCATAGCGTCAAAAGTATCTGTCCATTCTTGGTCAGCACGATCCTCACGTCAAGGCATTGAGGGTCTAGTCAGGTACCTTGGTCAAAGCCATGTCCCAATACGAATGGTGTCCAAGACGCCGCCGAAGTCCCTTAAACATACCAACAGTCTTGACGTCGACCGCATTGGCCTTCCAAGCGTATTTACGGCCACATCTTCGATCTCGTGTCGGGTTGGCCAGTGGGTCGGCCGTCGGGTCGAAAGCGAGGCAGTAGTGACAGATGACGATCAGGACCACGAGCCACGCGGTCGCGAGGAAGCCTACGAGTACCTATGGTTTCAAAAGCATTGTCAGTATGGAATTATCAGGCTCGATAGTTGACGTGCTGTTGACAAATAATCCCGCCTACTTACCCCAACGCCACCTACATCGGGATTCGCTTGCAATTCGCCCGCTATGGCAGAACAATCCTTGTTACAAATTGAATCGTTGGGTTCTTGCCGGGATGCTAGAATGGCTGACATCTGGAATCGCAAATATCGACTGCGGAAAACTGGAAGTTGGAAAACACAGACAAGGCGGCAGCGATGGCTTGCTGGGGAAGATAACCCCTAGATATATCATAGGCCCTTCTGAAACAGATCATTATCTTGTGTGCGCATCGACATGCAGACTCAACACGACAGTCCACGTGGCGGCATCAGGCTGCATGCATAAGGAGCAACGCTGGGTTGGTATCCTTTGGAAGCTGCTGATGCGCGCTGAGCTGGTTTGGTGGCACAGCATGTATGCGAAGAGCCAGTCGACGTAGCCTTGCCAGATTGCTGTGCATCGCGTGTAGCCCAAAGTGCGGCAGGTCACCTCGTATCAGACGTGATTGAACACGACTTCACAGATACACTACCGTAGTAAGACTGTTGGCCTGGGTGCAATTGAAATTAATTCGATATGTTTCAGTCATAATCGGCCGATCGATGTAGGGAGACGGGCAACCTGGTAGCTACACAGATCCAGTCACACAGTCTTATCTTACCCTTTCAGGTCATACCAGGTCACCATGTACAGACGCAGTCATAAATACAATCACCGTGGTTTATTCACAGACTGATCATTGAGGCCAGAAGGCTCGCCGACATCCTCCTAAGCCCTGTGAGCAGCCAAAGTTAAACAGAAAAGCGTCTGCTGCCCTCACGAGCCGTTTTCCAAGAAACCTGAATAATCAAATTCAAATATTATTCGAACATGAGATTTAAATACTGTGAATGCCCATCTTAAATGCTTTCTTCCTTCTTCCCTCCTAACTTCTCTTTCGCAGTTTGCCGCCTGGAGGCGCATTTTCTCATTGCCGTATGAGTCTGACGGGGAAATACTTATGTGAGGTTCTCATCGCCTAAAATTAAATACACTCATAAATACGGCCCCAAAACCTCCATCGTCCTCCCCCAAACCACCCCCTGCGCCCCCCTCAACTCCTCCAACACACTTCCCCTCTCAACAACCTCACACCCCCTCCCCACCAAAAACAGTCCCCTCCCCTCCTCCCCTCCTGTCCCCTTCTCAACCTCCCCCTTCTGCCCCCTCAGTCCCATCCCCCCAAACCGTCCACTAGTCGCATTATAAACATGCCTCTCCCCCGCCTCCCTCCCGCCCGTCCCCAGCACCCAAAACACCGGCTTCAAAAGCACCGTCACCGGCGCCGGCGACAGCCAGCTCGGCGCGTGGTACCGGGCCATGTTCCCCGTGTCCACCGCCCCGGGCCAGTTATGCACAAACGTAATCTTTGCATTCGCCGGGTCGGAGGCTAGACGGTCGAGGAAGAGCGTGTTCATGATGCTCATGTGCGTCTGCGAGCGCATCCCGCCAAAGTTCCCCGCCTTCCGGAGGTCCAGGTCGTCGACGAGGAGGTTCGTGGAGAGGAAGCTCCCGCCTAGCACGGTGAGCACGCGCGGCGACGGGGAGGCGCGCAGGAGCGGGAGGAGGGAGAGGGTGAAGAGCATGCGGCCGTAGTACTGCAGCGCGTGGGTAACTTCAATGCCTTCGGCCGTATCTGTATATCACCGTTAGCACCAGTCTCAACACCCACTTGCGGAGAAGACATTCACCATTCCGCCCTCCAAAAGGCGCATATCCCGCCGTCAAACACGTCAAATCCAGCCTTTCCTCGTTCTCTTTGATGAAATCGCATACGCGCTTCACTTCAGAGAGCAGCGACACCTCCGCCTCGACCCATACGAGCTCCGCCTGCGTGCTCTTGCGGCGCAGGGCCTCGAGGACGGGGCGCATTGCGGGCTCGCTGGCCTTGCGCCCGACAACGTAACATTTCATAGGGAGGTTGAGGGAGACGAGCTCGGTGAGGGTGTATTTTCCGATGCCTGACGTGGCGCCTACGAAGAGGGCTGTCTTGGGGATGGTGGAGGGGGTTAGGGCGGCGTTGGAGGCGCGGACCTCGGTGAGGGAGACCATTTTTGCGGAGTTGGAGTTGTGATTGATGAAAATAGGTCCTTTGCTGTGATTTGATTTCTGGGTCGCGGATTTACGAGATAGGAATTGGATTGGGACTTTTGCACGCTGGCAGAGGAGCTGTTTTATATTGGACGTTAGGTCCAAATCCTCGCATAGCCTCGCATTTCACATTGGGTTAGATAGTAAGCGGACAAGCCACATCGCACTAGGCGGGTAGAGCCATGGAATGATGTTGCTTTCTACGCACGTTCGGAAGGAAGAACTTAAGAAGTGGCCTTTTAATCAAATAATGCTGACGCTACGGCGGCGGAGCGGCACGGATTGCAATGCAGTCTCGCCCGCTAAAGCCGAAACTCCGCCGTGGTGTGGATGCTTCGCATTCCCAATGCGGTATGCGAAGGATCCACTTTGGGCCGTCTGCGGTCGGGCGACGAACGGCGCCGGATCCTAACGAGCCCGGCCTAACTCAGTCTGGCTCGGACAGAATGCGAGCATCCGGGCAGTCTCCGTGACATTGGGTGAGTAAGCGGGGTTTGGAAAGCATTTATCAGGGGGGCAGAGTTACATCGGCTCTCACCGCGCACGTGAGCCCCTGGCCAATGATGTTCTCCATTCACGGGGGAGTCACTGTTTCGCGGCTGGCGGTACGCGCAGCCTACGAGGGGGATTGTTTCGAGACGTCGATCATGGAAATGACATGTTCGCTTCTTGAAAGCGAGATTTGTTTGCCGGCAGAATACAGCATGGGGAAATCGCGGTTAAGAGTGATCATGGAAAATCTTAGATAACAGCCGACATCCCCACGGTTGCGAGCGTTCTTCATCGGAGAGTTTACATGAGATTTTCATGTTGGTCGCGGTGGCTGACTTGGTGTCTTTTGGCAAGAAGCTTGGTTTGCTTATTTTCCTCGGCGGACAAGACCAGGCTTGCATTAGCGAGCGGGATGGAGTCAGCGGAACGAGGGCTGGGAGGCGCCAAGATGATAGAGGCCAGCCAAGCGCCAAGAGGTGCTGAGCTTGGTGGAACAAGACGCCGAGAGATGCGACGCAACAACGGCCAATCGCCAATATTCTGCCCTGGACAGAATGCTGCCGTGTCATCGCAAGGGGAAATAACCACCTAGCTTTTGCGGAGAAGGTTCTTTCATGTTTGACAAGGGTGGACGGATGGCGACGACGGTTCGTCATTCGAAGCCTCCATGACTGTAAGTGGTGAGACTTCCAAACACTGCCGCAGATGCAGTGGTGCTGAACAGAAGCAAGATGGTTTCGAGTGTTTTGACAGAGACGAACTCGCCCACCTGAGCCCAGACCTGAAAACTTCCTCGGCAGAAGAGCCTCTCAAAACCTCTCATGAGCTAGCAGCATCCGCCTGGTGGAACCAGAGTTTTCGGCGGTGGCCGTTGCAAGACAAATTCAAGACTTTGTCGGAAAAGCAAACCTCTGAGCCAGAGTGCCCCTTTTCCGTTTGGCTTTTTACCGTTGTAGAAACGCTGGTTGAGATCGAGCCGGCGCATAGAGGGGGCCGTGAAGAAAGGAGGAACGCCTGTTTCCCTGTTGTGAGACATCTCGGGAAATTATGTGCAGTCTTGGTCGTCGCCGAAGAGACGCTGATGCTACGGAAGGTGAGAGAACCGAAGGACATTCCGACACGACGCCGGAGATGAAAAGTCGTTGGCTTGGCTAGCAATGGCTTCTTCCCAAATGCGCGGTTTATGCGTTGCAAAACCAGGTCAGCAACCTGAAGCCTGGGGAGATGACGACGGCTTGGCTTCCAAGACGGCATTCGGTATCTGCCAAGGCGGTCAGGCAAGAAGATGTCGGTAGGCATGGTGACCGACGTCGCATTCAAATTGATTGCCCTCGTGAGCGTCTGGGACGGCAGAGCTGGGCGACTTGGCAAGCCGTCGGCGGTGGGGAGCATCGACGAGATACGGATAACGAAAGCGAACATGAGTGTAACTCTGGGCGGTGGCCGAATGACGCGCCGGGAGCCGAGTACGGGCCATGCGATGGTCGAGGCAAACAGAACACATCAGGCCTCCCCGCTGAACGACAGCGAGCCCTTCGTTCGTCGTCGCGTGGAGCCTGGGAACCGGGTTTTCCGCAGCGGTTTCGAAGTGCTCAGTGGTGGCGGGCGCAAAAGAATGAGGATGGCCTCAACGGCCCCCATGTCGTCGTCAAACATCAGACGCGATGCCAGTAGGCGCTGGGACTTGGCGCGATGAGGGGCGTCTGACGTTTGGAGGCGCGCCAAGAGGATTCAAGGACAGGCAGGCTGTACCGATGGGAAGTCGAGACGGGCAGTTGAGGGGTGGTGTGGCTCGCGGATGAGGCGCATTGAGGCTTGATCAAGCACGCTGACTGGTGGAAGTGGTCGCAGGCAGAGGCGGAGGGCGAGGGGGAGGGGCTGAAGAGAAGGCGAGTGCAACATGAAATTGGTGATGGTCTGGAGGTGGAGGCAGATGGTTTGTCGCAGGCCCTAGGAAGAGTGAGACGCGCCCAGAAGAAATCAGGAGCTGCAAGACTTGGCGAGGCGCGGCCGGTGGGTGATCAACTGGCCGCGTGTTAGTGGACGAGCAGGGTGGCCAGCAGCAGGTCGAGGCGCTGAATAAGCGAGGGATTTGCGGCGGGCAGGGAAGGGGCTTTCAGCGGCGTACCGCCTGGATGGTACGCTGCCACGCAGACGGCCAGCGTGCCCTGGCCCCTCCCACATCACGACCTGACACTGGGGAGCTTAGTCAGGCAGCTTATTGCCCAAAGACCAGTGGGAGCAGCGCAATCCAGGGTCTCGGGGCTAGACCTTTACCTCTGCGACCCCTGCCATCACGAGCGCCCTGGTTTGACTTGGCAGCCATTCAAGCTCTTGGCTCTGCAAAAATCAGGCGGTTTTTTCTTGCCCCTTCTTCCTGTCATCCCTTCTCGCACCCATCCCCACGGGATCCAATGACTTGATCTGTGCTAGCCTCATCACGAAATGTCTTCGTCAGGCCTCATTCAGTCGTTCCTGCTACCGGAGGCGTCGACTCTGCGACACTTGAGAGAAGAAGCTGCGGTGCGGGTGCCTCCTGCTGCGGCCTGGAACTGGCTGCTTCCTGACCAGCGCGTCGTCTCAGTGCGCAGCTGCGACGACTGGAAGGTACGAAAAGTGGACCGCCTCCTTCCCCCTGTGTCGTCCGAACACAGCAGGCAAGAGTCCGAGGAGGCAGGCACTCCTGATGCCTGTGCTGGGCGCCTCCTTCCAATGGACGCTGGCAGGCCCTAAACGGCCTTAAGGTTTAGGGCGCTAACAACGGCCCATTAAGGTTTTTAGCTGTGAGCTGGTCCCTGACCGCCCTCCACTGTCAACCTCCAGCTAACGCAGGAAAGGACTGCCACTGCCACGCGTGAGACGGGAACTGCCAAGCCTTCTTTCCCTCCCCTTTTCCTCCTGCTCCACCAAAAGAGAAGGTTAAGCTGCGGCAGGCATCGCACTTGCCGCCTTCCAGTCAAGACTTCCTCCTAGGTACCTTAACCTGCTCACCCAGGAAGGCACGAAGCATGGAACACACGTGCAAAGATGTGTACGTACCTGCTTGCAACTGTCCGTCGAAGGAAAGATGGAAGGTCCAGTGGCCTCCCCCTCCCCACCTTCTGGTCTTGGTTGCATCTGCATATCTTGGACTTCTCTTGGAAAGAGCCTCATTTCTTGTCCTTCTCTTGGAAATTTCCTCCCGCCCGCTTATTTCTCCGAACTGCATTTGAACGGCTGTTTGCCTAGCAGCAGATCATTTCGACTGCTTATTTTTAGTCCTCGCCTGCCGCCTCCGGGAAATCACCATCATTGCCGTTAAGGATCGCTCCCCATGGTGTTGAGCGCCGGTTGATCGTCTTCGTCTCAAGAGGAAGATCACCACCCAGCGCAGAGAACATGAACATGGGGACGGGGCTTCGCCTCCGTCCGAACCAAGACTGTCGCTCGCCGTCACGTCGCGCTGCCTCATTGAGACTCGTGCTACGCATCCCCATGGATTTTCTGCTCGACCTTTTGCTGGGCCAAGCCTTCAACCGATAAAGTGGTCATATTCCCCACAGCCTTTCCAACCCTCCGGAGCCTGGCAGTTTCATCCTGGCGACGGACTCCCATCCTGTCAACCAGACCGGGGCCCTGGTCATTCCGCCCGCCCCTGCAAACGGCCCCTCTCCTCCGTCTCGACAGCCATCGCCCACTGCCGGGCGAGAACACACTGGCCATGGCCATGCCCGCGGTCCCATAGTCCAGATGGCATGCTGTCGCATTGGATGGAGAAGCTTGAACCGCCCCCGTCAGCACCGCCAGGAACAAGTCTACGATACCATGGGAAACGGAGGCGCTCATCCCTAAACGCAAGGCACCCTTATCCTCGTTCTACACTCGCCCACGGCTGCTCATTTCGCCCTCTTCGCCTCCCACCTCCTCTCACCACCCTGGATGAAGCGCTTGCCAAGTCCCTCACCATCATTCTGTCCCTCCTGCCTCGTCCGCTCCAAGCATCTGCCCATGGGTCACTGTCTTTGATGCTATTTCTGGACTTTCGAGGGTGATCATCTCGATAACGATCCTTCAACTGACGACTCCAGCTCCAAACTATATAGACATCATGCCATCTTGACACAGTCGTACTCTTTTTTCCTGGTTCATCTCGTTTCTTACCTCAACAACCTTTACCAACTTCACTTCTCTTCCCCGTTCGTTTCGTTTCTTCCCCTAGAGGGCTGGCCTTTACACTGTTTAACCAATAATTTACTTTTTTTTTTTTTCTTTTTTTTTTTTTTCTTTTTTTTTTTTTTGCTCACTACTCTTCTCTTCTCTCAATCCTTTGTAGGCCTTCACGAGCTGGTCCGTACCCTACCGTCCTTACAATGCCTTCTCGTCTCTTCACAGCCGGCGTCTTTGCCGCTTCCGTCTCCCAAGTCCTGGCTTCTTGCGCTTACGGCACTCATCTGGATCCCCGCGCCGAGGGTGGAAAGGTCAAGGTCAAC